CCCCGAGAAACCCTTGCCCCTGCCTGAAGCGGGGGCTGCAGCCTCATGTACAGCCCCTTCCCCTTTTTTAGCAAGTACTGACTGTGCAGGGAGCCGGACGGGGCCAGGTCGAGTTCAGCTCTTTGCGAACAGTTTCTCCTCTGCGAGGTGCCAAGCCCGTTGGCAGCACTGCACCAGGTGCCGTGCGAAGCTTGGGAACAGGTCCAGCAAGAGGGAGTCCTCTCGCTTGTGACAGCGCTGGGAACTGTCTGAACGGGCGAGAAGGGGATGGAAGCTATCGGGGACCCAGTGCAGAGCCCTAGCCCCTCACTTGGGATGCTCTATGATGTTTCAAGGCTGGCTCCTGCCCCCTTCACCCCAGAACCCTTCCTGCAGTCGCGGCATTACCGACGGTCGCAGCCGCAGTGGGTGCCGACGGTCGCAGCAGCAGTGGGTGTGAGGTAGCGCCTCGCGCTTTAGCTCGGCACGGGCTGGAGCGCTGGTGGGGTTAGCACAGAGTGAGAGCAGAGCGAGTGCTGGTCCAGCTGTGTGGATCGGTGAGCGGCCTCCAGAGATGAGCCCCAGCTGTGGGAAATGGTGTTCCAGCTCTGCTCCTGTGGGCATCACAGCCCCTCTGCCTGTGAGAAGAGGGAACCAAAGTCCGTAGCATTTAAGATACTGAACTGGGGCGAAGAACAGTGAGGAGCAAGGCATAGGAAGGCTCAGCCAAGGACAGACTACATGTGCTTTAGTACTCACCGGCCAGTTTCTCCAACACCTCCTGGGCTTAACAGCATCGGCTGCCCTACTTCCTCGTGCTTTCCTTGCGGATTATCCTTGTCCACAGCTGGAGGTGGAATTCTTTGTTTTCCATGGGACTAAAGCCAAGAAGGTCTGTGTACAAAGCTACGGACTTCTTACTCATGCGCTTCTGTTGACTGGATCAAAACGTGCCCTGGAATAGAGCTGCCATCCCAGAATCCCAGCAGAAAGATGCCTGCACAAACAGAAGTGCTCATGTGAAGAGCAGCCCTCAAGTCACTGTCGAGACTGGGATCTACGGCTATGGCTGTTTTACTATCTTAGTAGAGTTAGAAGAAGGTAGTGGGTAGTTACTGTATGTTGTGTTAGTGCTCTTGGCGTGTAGAAGCAGCTGCAGGAGCTTGGGACGGTGTGTGCGTTGTACCTATTGGCCATGCAAAACATCTGTCAGGTAAGAATATTGGGAATAGTTGAAGCAGGAAACATCACAACTGATTTTTTTTATATATATTTTTTTTTTCCCCCTGAGAAGTAAATAAAAGGGAGAGCAGGCCAAATTCTGGAGCCTCCCAGTAACACACACCTGCCAAGCTGCTCCTAACATCCAATATGTGATTATCAGCAACTAAAACTTAGGTTTAAGAGGAGCCTTCCTGTTCCGAAGGGCTCTGAGAGGGAAGTTTTTCCCCTGTGAGGCAGGAGATGATCCAGGGCAGCCCGGGCAGGGGCAGGTGTGGTGGTGCTGCAGGAGCTTGGTGGCTGCTGCTTTTGGTATAGGTACGTGATGCTCAATTCTTTGTGGGTTGTTTTGTTGTTTTTTTTGAGGTGGGGGGTCACATGAATGTATACACAGACTGATCGTTGGTTTGGGGAGGGAGGAGTGGATTATGTTTCTAGGAGAGACAAGTAAAACCAGCCACACCAAAAGCAAACTTGCAGAAGAAGGAAACAGAGGGTCTTCTTAATGCTGCTCTCATTGGTGTCGGCGGCAGGTCTTAGGAACGTGGTGGTGACTCGGGGTCTGTAGCTGGCTGCTTTGTCAGCATACCTTAAAATGTCTCCAGTAGGTCAGAGAAAGGGGTCACTGCAGTGTTCCAAAGAGTTCTGGAGGATTAAACTGGGGAGAAGCAGTTACAGATTTCCAAAGGAGCCTGAAGTCACGTGAAGTCAGATTCCTCTGCTCCCCTGCTCAGCAGCTGCCTCTGCAAAACTTAAACCAGTGAGCCACTTCTAGTCTTGCCAGCCTTTTGCTCCAACACAGAGCAAAGCCTGGCCACGTCGGTGGTTTCGAACTACTTGGTACCTAGTCCTGAAAGGGGAGGAGATGAAGAAGTTGTTTTATTTTCGTGCTTGCTATAAATGGATGATGCAGAAAGTATGGAAGTGGCCTGGGCTCTACACTTCTATAACAAAGGCTCCATTCTCCTCAGCAAGGTGCTGCAGGCCCACTTGAGCAGCTGAATTTGTAGCGGGTGAGGATGAGGAGGGAGTTTCCCAGGGTGGTTTGAGGATGCAGGGTGCCTGGCTGGCTTTGTAGTGACCAGGAGGGAAAGGGAGGATGCTGGCACGTTCGTGCAGAGCTGCATCCCACAGCTGTGGGTTGCAGCTGAGCCTAAATTTGGGATCAAAAGCCCGAGGGCATCACTTCAGGCTCTGCTACTGGTCTGCTCAGGGGGAAAAAAATGCACTCCATCTCCTCAGGCCTCAATTCACCTGTTAAATTGTGAGAAGGGCCTTGGACCAATATCATCTCGCCAAGGGAGGTGGCAGCTGTACCAGGTCGTGTTCTGCAGAGGGTTCTGCACCGGCCAGGACCGAGGCTCACCCCCAGGGTGGACCCAAACCTTTGCTTTTGAGAGTGAAGAAAGCTCATCGTTCACATAGCTCCCTGCATCGCCTTGTTTCCACTTAACTGGTATCTGGCAAACTGGAGCTGGTGGCAAAGGAGAGGGTCGGGCTGTCCTAAGCTGGGCTCTTCTTTCTGGTCAAGGGGTGTTACTTGGGGTGGGGGGCAGGGGAGAATGGAACACTTCAGTTTATACCTCATTTTAGCTGCTGTACCTGAATTTATTCTTTCTCTTCTGGTAAGAAAGTGACTGTACTTAACACCAAGCAAATAGTGAAAAATTAAAGTGGTTTCACTTCACTGTCACAATATCTTTCTTTGATTTTTTTTTTTTTATTATTTATTTTTTTTAAGAAACACACAAACTGTGCAGAGAGTGCTTCAGGCTTGTGTTCTGGTTTATATTACCAAAAAAAAAATCCTTTCAATATAAAAAAAGCATTACAGTAGGGAATACAGGATAAATTAGCTCCACTATCTAATAAAAAGAACATTTACAGGCGTGGGGTTTTTTGTGTTTTTTTTTTTGTTTTTTTGTTTAAAATAGATTTCAAACATTTCACATGCAGCCCTTTTGCCAGGCCTTTGTGGCAGTCGTTTGAGCATTAAGAGCCGGGGGGGCTCAGAGGGGCTGTGCTTGCAGCGCTGGGGCAGCCACTCCCAGTTCCCAGCCTGTCTGGGACTCTCCAGCCCCCAGCAACTCCGGCCTAAGCCCCCGCCAGAGCTGTCAAAAAAAACCCAAATACAAAAATACAGTTGCTTCTCCTGCCTACTGTTCTGAAAAAAATGACTGTACAACAGTGGAGGCGGCAGCCCCGTCCACGGGACAAACCCAGCGGGCTTTGCCGTGTGGCCAGAGTTGGCTTTTTGGGGCTGCCTCCTTCATTAAATTCCCCCAGGGGAGAATTGCCACTGGTTCTCTCAGGCTTGCAGGTGTCTTCACAGCTATCTTCTCTCCAGCCTGGTTTAACCTGTGCTGCCTGGGCTTTGCTGGGCTTTCAGGCTGTTCCCAGCAGCACTCTCGCCAGCTCCGGAGAGGGTTTGAGGTCTTCATCCAGAAAAGAGCAATGCAGGTGCGTCCAGGGTAAGAAAGGAAAAAGCTGTGCAAAGGCTGGAATAAATGATGAATGAAAGCTCCTTTTGCAGCTACAATTAGGGAGAGATGGAAAGCGAGAAAGAGTAAGGAGCTAGGAGAGCCAAGCTGAAGCCAGCCCGCAGAGATGGTACTTCAGGCGTGGATATTCGTTACTTCACGCTCTGGCTCCCCCAGCGATGACATTTTTCTTCCCGCTGTGCCACTGGCGGCAGAAAAAGGCTTTAAGGCTCTTTTTTATTCAGCCACCTACCACGCACGAGAATCAGGGTATTCGCCTTCCAGGCTCTGACCTGAGACAGCCAGGCCTTTTGCATAATAAATTGAGGGGACGGGGAAAATTGGAGGAGGCGGTTCTGCTTCTCTCGCTCACCTCCAGCCGGTGGTTCTGTTCCTCCCCCTGGGAACTGCTCTCCCAGAACAGTCACTGAATCCACCTCCCAAGGCAGAGGCAGAACAGATAAGCTTGCCTTCTGCTTGGCCCATTCCCTGCAAGACTAGTAGATGCAACCAATTTTTTTCCCTCTCTCACGCGCAGCACCTGCTGTTTGGTACAAATACTGCTGCCTTTTTTTTTTTTTTTTGGCTAGCAAAACTGTTTTCCTTCATTAGACAACAGAACAGCACTTAATGCTAAAATGCCTCATTAAGAGAACATCCAGAGGGAAATCATTCAGGAAAGCTTTCCACAAGGCTTTAATGCAACATCTGAGGCCGTTCAGCAGCTCCCTCTGCCTGGTCCGTTGCTGGAATATGCTGACCATGGCATGGGTGGGGGTGTTCAGCTCCACTTGCCTGCACCCTCCCCTGCTGATGAGTAAATTGCTGCTTTCAAAGGAAGCCTGGCGAAG